AATGTGTGTTTATAAGCAGTAATTTCCCCTTTTCTAAACCCTCACTTTCCTTTTGTGGTTGAATATATATATATATATATATATATATATATTTTAATGTTGAAATAGTCAGTACTTTTTCCATATCCTCATATGCGACTAGACAAATGAATGCCTTCAAACCCAGATTGAAACTCAACTGATTTGGTGTCAGTCAGAGCTTTACCACTGAGCCATTTTCACTCGACAAAGCGAGTCAGCCAAATCTAGTAGTTTTTTTTTTTTTACAAACGTAAACAAATGTCAAGCAGCCAAAGTTTTCCATTCATTTTACTGAAGAGATATGCATTTACGCAGGTGACTTGTTTTTAGAATTAGCTAAGTTCAATTTGCTCAATTGAAAATTATGTCATTCGCAGACAGTACTGTTATATATATATATATAAATATCAATAAGAACACCGGATTACATATCTTACTGTTGTTTTTCTTTTTTTTATATATATATATATATATATATATATATATATATATATATATATATATATATATATATATATATATTTATATATATATTTTTGGATTGATGTGAGTTTTGACCCTGGGTTTCATTTTGCGATCGTCAGACAAATAATATATAAATAATTATATATATATATATTTATTTATATTTATACACATTCAGTGAGCCAACACACACACACACACACACACACACACACACACACACATATATATATATATATATATATATATATATATATATATATATATATATATATATCATTCGCAGACAGTACTGTTTCGCTGTGTCACAGCTCCTCAGTGCGACTATCAACCGAATGACTCAAACCCAGATCGAAATGCAACCGATTTGGTGTCAGAACCTCTACCACTGAGCCATCTTCACTATACCCTCATTATTTTAAAAACAATTTAATGATTTAAATAACAAATTCTTATTTAATAAAAATGCAATATTGTTATTTGCATATCTTTTCTTTAAGTTTTTAGATGCAAGAATCTAATTTGCAGTTTGCACTGCGTTTGCGAGAACTATAAACAAATCCCAATGCTAAACGCTTCAAAAAGGCGGAATTTGGCTCCAGAAAGAAATATGTTGCATGCTCAAAAGTAAGAAATTCTAAGAATTTATGCTTCGCTATTAAAAAGGAAAAAATTAAATTTTCATAAAAAATATCGTTTGCCTTGAATTCCTATAAAATTAAATTACATTAAAGAAATTATTAAACTGCGACATAGGGTTTTTGTATTTTCTAAACAAAATCGGCTTATTCAAATTTCATCGATTGGTTTGCGAAATTGAACTCTTGTTTAGTAATTTAACTATTAAGTGATCGCTTGTTTTTGTTTTGCAGTGATATATGTACGGATAGCGAATGTGAGAAAAATTTGAAATCGTGTGGCTCACTGTTATTATATCCAAAGCCAAGTCATATGTTTCCTATACGGAAACGGCTAGTTTCATCATTATCATTGTAGGGATACAGAAGACGGTTATCTCCCTTTGGTGGCGATAAGTCACATGGATTACGCAACGGACCACTCAGTGTCGTTACTCTTTGCAGTGACGATAGCGACAGTCAAATTCAGTTCGTTTACAGCAGTCAAACGAAATGCTTGTTCTCTTTAAATGTCCCGAGCAGAGGCTAACAAATATTCTTCAGCAATTAAAGTCTATGAATATGTCTCATTTTGGGAATATATCTTTCACAGGTATAAAAAGAAACTCCAGTTTGTAGTCCTCAATTTAGGAAAACCCATGACTTGCAGTTTCCTGTTCGTACAATATGTCCTCGCTGTGACATAGATGAATCCGGCCCATTTCAATCTAGAGTCTTAAACATCGTTTCTCCAGACAGAGAAGTATCTTCATATTATATGTAAGACCCTTCCATTTTATTTCTTCTTACACTCTACTTTGCTGTGTTGATATGTATATATGTATATATAGTTTTGTACCTTAATAGTATAAAAGTCTCTCTGAGAACAAAGCATTTATCCATTCCTTTTCCCTTCAACTATTCAGTTCCGTTGGAACTACGGTGTTATAACACGGATATAGTAATGCCTATAATGGGGGAAATAAATGGGAGAATAAATCCTTCTTCCTAGCTCTCTCTCGTTACATCATTATCATTACAGGTTGAGAATCCTTTATGCGAAATTCTTGGAACCGGAAGTGGTTCGGTTTTGGAATACCGACTATTTAATTTGTATATGACATCTATAAAACGGGTTAGCTCGATAATGGACCCCAAACATAAACACGATATCTCTTTACATTTCATAACACAGGTTGTACATATACCTTGAATGTAGTTTTATATAAAATTTAATAAATTTTGTGTACATACTGTTAATGGCGCTAATCCTGTAATGTTTACACGGACTTTTTGACATTTTGAATATCTTTATTGAGCACGAAACACCTGGTAAGTAATCCACGAACGAAGCTAATGCTGAGACGATCGCTTAACAAAAAAACTGGCGCCAAAGTAGTCTACGTAGCTGGGCTTTCTGAAATTTTCCAATTGTAGCAAGTCATTTCAGCACCTGAAAAACTTACGAATTTTGGAGGTTTTCGGATTTAGGAATTTCGGATAAAGGATACTCAACATTTACTAATAGAATATGAATTTTATATGCATATTTTTTCTCTTTGAAAATTTTACATTTGTAGCAAGTCTTGTCAGCACCTGAAAAATTTTCGGATTTTGGATTTGGAATTTCGGATAAAGGATACTCAACCTTTACTAACAGAATATGACCATATTTCTTTTTCATATTGAATTGATTTTTTTTTCAAGACACTCACATTCAAATAGTAACATGTACAAGCCCTGATTATGCAATTTGATATAATTTAATAAGATAGATAATTTGTGTTACTGGCCGACTCGCAAAGGAAACTCCTGGACAGAGTGGTAGAAGAAAGCAAGAAAAAAGGACTAACCATCAACTGCAAGAGAACAGAAGGTATAATCATCAGCAAGAGAAAAAGCGCAAGATGCGAGTTACGAATTGCATACGAACAGAAAATAAATTGAGTAGCTATACAAAAATGGAAAAAAGAGAAGGGTAGGTCTTCTCCAGAGATTTACTCAACCTCTAGAGCTAAGGAAACTGGCTACCCTACCAGGATTTATTATCGGTGGGCGTAACCTTAACAATATGAAATCCGAACACATATTGGGCTAGCGAAAAGGCATTACAAAAGGTAAGCAAAGTGATAGGAAAACAAACAAAGAAAAAAGTGCTGGTTTGCTATGTAGTATGCATTTTTTCATATGATTGTGAATGTCAGACAATCTCCCCACGAATTACGATAAACCTGGAAGCAGCAGAAATGTGTCTCTACCGAAGGATACTGAGAATTCCATGGACGGGACGAGTAAGCAACAAGGAAGTCCTACAGAAAATAGCAGCAGAAAGAACACTTATGTACAAACATGATCACCGAAGTAATAAAGGAAATATACAACAATGGCCTCGTACCGGAGGACCTTACTAAATCCATCAATATTATCTAAGAGACCAGGTGCCAAACGAATATGAATTCCATAGCACAAGCAGTTGAAAGAGCCACATAACCAAACTAATGATGCGAATCCTGAAGAATATATTGCGAAGCAGAATTAGACAGGAAATGAACCAAGAAAAGTGCAGTTTTGTCAAGAACACCGGAACATGAAATGCGATATTTATGATCATGATATCAGAGTAAGTAATACAAATGCAGAAAGATGTGCATTTATATTTTATGGATTATGCAGAAGCATTTGACAAGGCGCGGCGCAAAGATCTATTTGAACTGCTATGAAAACTCGATCTATTCGGAAAAGAGGTTAGAATAATCTTGAACTTATGCAAACTGCAAACGGATAGAAAATCGGCAAACGGATAGAAAATAAATTGAGTAGCTGTACAATAATAGAAAAGGGCGTGAGACAAGAGTGGGTCTTCTCCCCAGATTTATTCCACCTCTAGAGCTAAGGAAACTGGATAACCTACCAGGATTTATTATCGGTGGACGTAACCCTAACCATAAAAAATACGCGAATGACACACTGTTACTGGCCGACTCGGGAAGGAAACTATAAGACCTCCTAGACAGGGCTAGAGAAGAAAGCGAGAAGAAAGGACTAACCATCAACCGCATGAAGACAGAATGTATGATCATCAGCAAGAGAAAAATCCCAGAATGAGAATTACGAATTGTAGATATAAACATCAAGCAGCTTCAGAAGCTCGAAGATGTAAGAATCGTTTTAACAGAGGATGCAAAATGCGACACCAAGATCCGAATCTACATTGGACTAGTGAAAGAGGTATTCCAAAAAGTAAGCAAGGTGCTGAGAAAGTGGGTAAAAAACTCGTTAAAAACAAAGAAAAGAGAGCTGCATTGCTCATTCATCCTCTCAAATGACTGTGAATGCTGGACAATCTCACCAGGAATGAGGATTAAACTGGAAGCTACAGAAATATGATTCTACAGAAGGATGCTGAGAATTCCATGAATGGAGCGATTAATGAACAAGGAAGTCTTAAAGAAAATGGCAACCGAAAGAACACTTACCCTAAAAAATCAAGCTGAAATTCCTTGGAGGGCTTGGAAAACTGAACCCTCACTGGGCGTATGGAGACCAATCGAGTAGGGAATAGTATGGAGCCACTTTTGTGAATCGATGGCGGAACAGGGTGGAGGTCGAGGACCTTAGTAGATGGAGGAAAACTGTTAAATGTCACACGAGGTAGAAAGTTGTGGAGAGCCATGATCGCTTATGTCCTGAAGGGAAGTGGCACATAGAAGTTGTCTCCTATTATGCTAATAATACATTTTCATTACATATATTATCTAGCTAGACTAATATATAAGTAGTATATTAATACTTTCATATGCGATTGAAATTCATTTTTGCCAAGCCCAGTTTTGTAGTTTATTTGCCACTGTGGCACAATAATAATGAAAGGGAATATTTTATATTTCAAGTGATCGAATGAAGATGGATATCACTGTCTAACTATCCAATGGAATCCATTTGCCAAAGAGAAATGCCGCCGTGTGTTGGAGGGTTTAATCGATCAAATAAAATATCACAAGGATGAAAGATATCACAAGAACTGAATGAAAATCTATCTATCTATCTATCTATCTATCTATCTATCTATCTATCTATCTATCTATCTAAGCTAACACACACAGACATCTATCTACCTATCTATCATGGATGTGTCATATATATATATATATATATATATATATATATATATATATGTATGTATGTATGTATATCACATTATTCAGTATTTATTTCTTTATATATGATATATATAGGATTAATACAAATGAAAATTGGTAACTTGTAATCGATGTTTTATTCAGCAACTCAGTTCTGGGGTTTGTAGAGGAACATTTTTAATCCTTCCCTTCACTCGTCAATTGCTATATATATATATATATATATATATATATATATATATATATATATATATGTCTGTGTGTGTGTGTGTGTTTTATCTATCTATCTATCTATACACGATATATGCAGGATTAATACAAATAAAATTTGTCACTTAACAGATTCATGTTATATGTAGCACCTCGATTCTGCTATTTATCTACGTCTGTTCATATCTGTTTGAGTATCTATCTATCTATCTATCTATCTATCTATCTATCTATCTATCTAAAGAGTGCGATGGGTAAATTGTCACCATTTTATATTTTTAATTTATTTCGCGCATGCGCGTTTTTTTTTTTTTTTTTTTTGGTTTTTGTCGTTGATTTTGTCGAGTGCCCAGTATAATAGGGTCAGTTGTGCACCGTCTGTGAGAAAACAGCACCATGACGCGATTCACTTCGCCAGAAATTTGGAAACGGCATGCTGTACTATTTGGCATTCGAGCCGGAAGCTTCAATACGAACATGCAAGAGTATTTTGGTGTCAATCAGTGCAGAGAATTCGGAAAGAATTGATTTAGTCTAATGGTGAATACGAAGGTGCAGCAGCTCGGAAAACTGATCGTTCTGATAAGAAAAGATTTCCCGGGTCAAGAGGGTGGCTACTGGAATACCGTATGTCTGGCAACAGGACTCTTCACTTTGCCACACAAGCAGGAGAATCAAGTCATGGCTGTCAGATAATTTCTGCGACTACATCATCCCTTAGATCTGTCCATCTAACCCCTCAGACTGCAACCCTATTGATTATTATATGTGCAGCGCTGTTGAGCAAAAGACCAACAAAACATCTTGTAACATCAAAATGAACAAGGCAAGGATTACGCCAGCATTCATTAACTTTTTTTTTAAGGAGACTATCCAGAAGACAAATAGGTAACGAATTCGTCTGATAGCCATATTTGAAACCAGTGGCGATTTTATTGAATAAACTTACTCTTTAGTATTTCAAGATATTTCTGTTTAATTTTTGGTAAATATATCTGTTAAAATAAAATGTCAGTGTTATTTTCATTTTTGCGTAATTTCGACGACAGTTTATCCATCGCACTCTGTATCTATATCAGTATGTTCATATCTATCTATATATATCTTTATCTATAAAAGGCAGGATGTGTGTGTGTGTGTGTGTGTGTGTGTGTGTGTGTGTGTGTGTGTGTGTGTGTGTGTGTAACGAATGTACGGCCGCAATTTTCGACGGATTTGCACCAAAATTTACATGCACATGCTCTAAGTTAGCGGGAAGGCCAAGACAGACTTTGCATTTCCCAACTCCCATCGATAGTTGAAATAATCGATTTTTCATGCTTCTACGGCAAATTTCATGTAGTTTGCGACCATTTTCTACTGGACAGAGTGAGAGCCAATAGCTGACCGCCACGAATAGACAGGAAGATTCTATTGGCCAGCGTGAGAGCCAACAGCTGACTGACACGAATGTTAACTAGCATGCTAGCATGCAAAAAAAATCGATAGCTGCATTCGTCACAAGTGGGAAAAATTTAAATCTGCATGGCACTTTACTCCAATTGGCTCATTCGCTTGCTTAAACTCAACGTTGATTCTGATTCCGCAGAACTGGGTTGGGTGTGAAAAAGTATTTCTTGTTAACATTCTTTTTCATTCGGTTTTTCCAGTTACAAGTCCTTTTTTAAAGCTGATTGTTTTGTGTTCATTTTATTTAGTTCTTTTTTCGTAACAGATTTAATGTTTTAGTATAGAGCTTAGAAAAAAAATTCGCAGTGTGAGATAGGCAAGAAGTAAGGCATGTAGCAACATCAGCACGGCAAAGGGCACTCCTTTAAAGGCAAGGAAGGGCAAAAAATTTTAAGTCAAGTGATAGCGATTGCTGTATGAGTCGTACGATTTTTGAATCAAGCACGGGCAACGCCGGGCCATGCTGCTATATATATATATATATATATATATATATATATATATATATATATATATATATATATATATATATATATATCCATGGAATATCTATTAATCTATATGTGAATATTTTTATTTAAATAAAATTTTTCTTTTTACTGAAGTAGTTTATAAACGATTTTGTAATATCATTCCGAATATCCTTTCGTAATGTTGACGTTAAAATGTCTTATTCATTTAATTTAAAAAAAAATGTTATCTTTTGTTTCGCATTTTCAAATATTACATTTTTTCTGAAAGATGTTTTTTTTTTTTTCAATTGAAATATTTATTTAAATTCTTTTGAATATCTGAATATTCCAGATTTGAATTTTCCAAGTTTAATAAAGATTTATTTAATCTTGTTGAATATTTATTATTGGTGTATGAGATTTTTTCATGTTGGAAATAACATAGCCTAAATATGTGAGCAATGAGGAAGTTTTAGAGCAAATGGAAACAAAAAGGACACTTATACTTAGTGACAGTTTACATTTCTAACACATATAATAAGAAAAGACGACTTAGAAATTTTGACACTCACGGGGCATATTGAAGGCAAGATGGACAAAGTAAAGCAACGGATAATCTACCTAATAAGCGTGTGTAAAAGGTGGCAGAACAGGAATTATGAAAAATAGTGAAAAGATTTTTATAGAATCAGCTACAAAGGGCAGGCTCAAATTGGAGAGCCATGATACCAAACGTCCTGAACTGAAGTTTCAATAAAAAAATCTTGAAGAAGAAGAAGAAGAAGAAGAAGAAGAAGAAGAAGAAGAAGTTTTTTGTAAAAACTTGGCAGAACAGGGATTAGGAGAGATAAAAAAGACAAAAACGAATAAGAGCAATAACGGATAGGAAATTGTGGATAGCCATAATTTCCATCGTCAAAAAATATGTCACTTAACCTAGAAGAAGAAGAAGAAGAATTTTTATATAAATAGCCATCAGAACTGGGATTAAATAAAATATTAAAAAGACAAACTTTACTAAGAGCAATAACTGACTGGAAATTGTGGAGAGCCATGATCACCAACGTCTTGAAGGGACACGCCTTACAGAAGATCTTTATTTACATGTATCAAATATTATATTCTTTCGTATTTGAGAAATGATCTAATGTGGCTCCAGGAAACATGACAACATCATCTTTAATAGGATAACGTTAATTTTTTTTTAATTATATATGCATATAATATGACAATTAATCTTTCCTATAGAAAGAGAGAAGAATATACCAACGATGGAGAGAATGCGTCAAAGAACTTCAGGATGCGGAAGATAAACCTACCCTGGAAAATACAGATGGTCAAGAAATACTAAGAGATGAAGTAAGATGAACACTGGAGAAGATGAATAGGAACGAAACGGTGCCTGATGGGATCGTATTAGGAATGTTCACAGTCAACATGATCACCGAAGTAATAAACGAAATATACAACAATGACCTCGTACCGGAGGACCTTACTAAATCCATCAATATTATCTAAGAGACCAGGTGCCAAACGAATATGAATTCCATAGCACAAGCAGTTGAAAGAGCCACATAACCAAAATAATGATGCGATTCCTGAAGAATATATTGCGAAGCAGAGTTACACAAGAAATGAACCAAGAAAAGTGCAGTTTTGTCAAGAACACCGGAACATGAAATGCGATATTTATGATCATGATATCAGAGTAAGTAATACAAATGCAGAAAGATGTGTACTTATATTTTATGGATTATGCAGAAGCATTTGACAAGGCGCGGCGCAAAGATCTATTTGAACTGCTATGAAAACTCGATCTATTCGGAAAAGAAGTTAGAATAATCCTGAACTTATGCAAACGGCAAACGGATAGAAACTCGGCAAACGGATAAAAAATAAATTGAGTCGCTGTAAAATAATAGAAAAGGGCGTGAGACAAGAGTGGGTCTTCTTCCCAGATTTATTCCACCTTTAGAGCTAAGGAAACTGGATAACCTACCAGGAATTATTATCGGTGGACGTAACTCTAACCATATAAAATATGCGAATGACACTCTGTTACTGACCGACTCGGGAAGGAAACGATAAGATCTCCTAGACAGGGTCAGACAAGAAAGCGAGAAGAAAGGACTAACCATCAACCGCATGAAGACAGAATGTATGGTCATCAGCAAGAGAAAAATCCCCGAATGAGAATTACGAATTGTAGATATAAACATCAAGCAGCTGCAGAAGTTCGAAGACATAGGAATCGTTTTAACAGAGGATGCAAAATACGACACCAAGATCCGAATCTATATTGGACTAGCAAAAGAGCTATTCCAAAAAGTAAGCAAGATGCTGAGAAACGGGAAGCAGTAAACTATTATTCCTCCTAGACAGAGTAGTAGAACAAAGCGAGAAGAAAAGGCTAAACATCAACTGTAAGAAGACAGAATGTATGGTCATCAGCATTTAAAAAAAAACACGAAGATGCGAGGTACGAATTAGAGATATAAACATTAAGCAGGTGCAGAAGTTCATATATCTGGGAAACGTTTTAACAGGAGGATAGAAAATGTGACACAGAGATCCGAAGTATGCATTGGACTAGCAACAGAGGTATTCAAAAAGCTAAGCAAGGCTCTAAGAAACTGGAAGAAATTCGTTACAAAGAAAAAAGTACTTACATTATTAAATTGTTCGGACTGTTTTCCTCATCTTTATTGCCATATTCACGACGTTTCGGCCGCTGTACGCTCCGGCCTTCTTCAGGTGACTGGAATTTCGAAATGAACCCTTTGAGGACACATGACCCATTAGATAATAGCGTTGGTTGGATCCAATGACTTGACCCAAAGTGTTGTGAGTTCAATACCTGGCTACTGCTGAGGTAAACAAAAACTTGGTGAGTACAGGTAAAGGGAGATAACTGAAACAACCGGAATAGGCATGGCACGTGGAACTAGAACAATCTACCCCGGTGGACGAAATAAACGGTTAAATTCGAAATTCCAGTCAACTTGTCAGACGAGCTTGTGTGAATGGATGGTGAAACGTGCGGCGGTGGCTTAGCAAAGGGAGAAAACTGCTAAGTGCCACACGGGATAGATGTTTCTCTACTTCTCTTTCCTTTTCTTTTACATTCTTCATCCTCCTCTACTTCTTCATTATCATTCCTCTATTTCTTCTTCTTCTTCTTCTTCTTCTACTACTACTACTACTTTATCATCCTTCTTTTTCTTTCTTTTTTCTTCTTTCTTTCTTTCTTTCTTTCTTTCTTTTTCTTCTTCTTTGCTATCTTTTCCCATTGTTTTCTTCTTATTTCTTTTACTTCTTCACTTCCATTATCATTTTCCGTTATTCTTTCTTCCTCTTCTTTAGCATCCGACTTTTTCTTTCGTCTTCTTCGTTATCTTTTTCCCTCCTTTCCTCCTCCCCCTCCTCCTCCTTCTTCTTTTTTTATCATCTCTATTTTTCATTCTCCTTCTTCTTACTTTTTCTTCTTTTACTTTTTACCTCCCTTATACTTTTTCTTTTTTCCCCTTTCTTTCTGTATATTATCATGCCTATTTTTCTTCCTTTCTTTCTTTCTTTCTTTCTTTCTTTCTTTCTTTCTTTCTTTCTTTCTTCTTCTTCTTCGTTATTTTACCCATCCTTTTCTTCTTTTTCTTTTAATTCTTCACTTTCATTATCCTTGTACTTTTTCTTCTTCTTTTTCTTCTTCTTCGTTTACATTTTTCCATTTTCTTCTTGTTGTTTTACTTCTTCACGTACATTATCATTTACTCTTTTCTTTTTACTTCTTCTTTACTATCAACTCTCTTTTTCTTTCTTTCTTTCTTTCTTTCTTTTTCTTCTTCTTCGGTATCTTTAGTTTACCATTCTTTTCTTCTTCTTTTTACTTATTCACCACCATTATCGTTTTCTTTTTTCCTTCTTCTTCTCCTTTATTATCATCTTTGGTTTTCTTTCTTCTTCTTCTTCTTCTTTTCTTCTTCTTCTTTATCATCCTTCTTTTCCTTTCTTCTTCTTCTTCGTTATCAATTCTTCATTTCCTCTTTCTTCTTTCTTCTTTTTCATTTCTTCCTCCACTTCAACGCTGTTCTTCCTTTTTTTCTTTTTTCTTTTCTTCATCTTTATTATCACCCCTCTTCTTTTTCTCCCTTTTCTTTTGTATTCTCTTTCTTAAATCACTTTTCATTTCTGAAACACAAAATTAATGATAGTTGTTTACAAAGACAAAAAAAAAAATTCAAGGCCAATTTGTAGCTAAAATAGTTGCGCATTTCCGACCAGTCTTGCTGGGATTATTAATCCGATTGTCGATACAACCTCTTGAAAAAATATCCCCACTCTGGCCTTGTTTTCTAATGGTTAAACCAAAGTAACTATAGAAAAATATTAAATCATAAAATCTGATACAAAAACGTGTATATGTAGATAGAATAATAATCTACCTATCCATCTATCTATTCTATTTCTCTCTATTTATATATTTACACACACACACACACACACACATACATACACACACACACACACACATATATATATATATATATATATATATATATATATCATTCTGGTCATTATCTATATGTCTATCTAACAAAATTGTTAATTATCATATATAGATATCTCATAATTTCATATCTTTTAATGAACAAATTTAAATATATATATATATATAGAGAGAGAGATAATGATCTTCTCTCTTTATATATATATATATATATATATATATTAGGTTGGTGCAAAAATAATATTTTTAATGTAATTTTTTGACGTATTTTTTAACGTCGAAACGACGATTATTACGTCATTATTTTTGATTCCTTATTAAATTTATAGATATATAGATAAACAGATAGATAGATTTCATTCTGTTTATTCTCTCATCTATCTAATTCTTTTTATTGACGCGATATCTTTCTATCTACTTATCTATTTACCTATTCTATTCTTGAGTTCGAGTGAAGAAATTAAAGATTTTATCATTTCTTTAATATATATATATATATATATATATATATATATATATATATATATATATATATATATATATATATATATATATATAATAAATTTTATGAAGATTTTATGAAAGGAGTGATAGGAATAAGGACGTCCAAATTATATATTTCTCTAAAAAGTATTGAATCGTTCGGGCCCGTGTATTAGAAACTCAAAGATATGTATCGCCTTCCTCTTCTTTCTTTCTTTCTTTCTTTCTTTCTTTCTTTCTTTATTTCTACTCAACCCCCCTTACTTCCTTGATATTCCATTGATTAGATGTAAGTTCCACTCGAGTCCTTCTCATTATTCGCGACTTTATGGAAGCAACTCCCAAGAGGATACAATCTTAACCGGTCGAAGTCGACGTTTAACGGTTATTTTCTTCACATATCACTATAAGCTGTACTTCTTATTCTGTCTGCCTCGAGTGGCTCATTGGCCTTGTACAGAGTGAACATCATTATACAAAAAAAGCCAAGAGGGATAGATGAAAGCAGTACGTAAACTACCTAATGAGCTTGTGTAAATGATTGGCAGAACGAGGATTAGGAGAAATAGCAAAAATTACTTAAAAAGCTACAAAGCCAGGAAATAGTGGAGACCCATGATCGCCCATGTCCTGAAGTCACACTCCACATAGCATAAGAAGTACGAGCTTGTGTAAATGGTTGGCAGAACAGGGATTAGGAGAGATAGCAAAAAGACAAAATTTACTAAGAGCTATAAAAGACAGGAAATTGTGGAGTGCCATTATCTCCAACGTCTTGAAGGATCTTTTTTTTTGTTCTCTCAAAGTTTTCAATTCTTTTTTGGGATATTCTTTAACTTCTGTTCAATTGTTTTCCAAAACTGTGTTCACATCACTGAAAAGCTATTTTAAATCTTGCTTCTCTTTTGAGCTTATACCATTCTTACGACCCATGACAATCTTTATATGTCTGAAATGAAAATTAAATAAATAGCGGGAAATATATCATTATAGACATTCATTTATAACATGATGATCGACTTTCGAGTTGCATAATAAAATTCCCTCACAACAGAATTCAAAATGTTTCCAATAAAAAGTTATTATAATCTGAAATTTACATGGCATATTGATCAGATAAATATTAATATATCTTGAAAATCTATCCAAGAATCAGTTCAATATCTGCGCACACTACTTTTCAGCACTTTGCCTGGAATCGATTGAGTATCAAAATGTTTCTCCCTAGCTCTTTGCCTAGGATCGGAGTAGTAACTGTGCAATCGCCTGTGGACCAAATGTGTTGAAATGTCTGTGTTAATTACTCATTTATTTATTCGACTTTGAACTTTATACTTATTGGGTTTTTTTTGACATTTTTGTTGCACAGACGCATTTTTCGACGGATTTCCACCAAAATTTACATGCACATGCTCTAAGTTAGCGGGAAGGCCAAGACAGACTTTGCATTTCCCAACTCCCATCGATAGTGGAAATAATCGATTTTTCATGCTTCTACGGCAAATTTCATGTAGTTTGCGGCCATTTTCTACTGGCCAGAGTGAGAGCCTATAGCTCGCTGCCACGAATAGGCACGAAGATTCTATTGGCCAGCTTGAGAGCCAACAGCTGACTGACACGAATGTTAACTAGCATGCTAGCATGCAAAAAAAATCGATAGCGGCATTCGTCACAAGTGGGAAAAATTTAAATCTGCATGGCACATTACTCCAATTGGCTCATTCGCTTGCTTAAACTCAACGTTGATTCTGATTCCGCAGAACTGGGTTGGGTGTGAAAAAGTATTTCTTGTTAACATTCTTTTTTCATTTGTTTATTTTTTTTTTGTTACGAGCCCTGTTTTAAAGCTGATCGTTTTGTGTTCATTTTGTTTAGTTCTTTTTTCGTAACAGATTTAATGTTTAGTATAGAACTTAGAAAAAATTCGCAGTGTGAGATAGGCAAGAAGTAAGGCATGTAGCAACATCAGTACGGCAAAGGGCACTCCTTTAAAGGCAAGGAAGGACAAAAATATTTTAAGTGATAGTGTATGAGTCGTACGATTTTTGAATCAAGCACGGGCAACGCCGGGCCATGCTGCTAGTTTAGAATATGCTTAACCGCTGCTATTTATCAATGCTGAAAAATTAATTTTTACCATCCCGATTTTTTATTTGGCAGTAAGCATTAGAACTTAGTATAAGTTCTAATGTTTAGTATTACTATTAATCATTACTTAATATGTGTTCTGCCGCATTTTTTAACAGGTTAGTAGAAGTAGATAGACTCACCTATCGCCTGATCCGTAATCCTTCGATGTCTTCTGAACAGGAGTAGAGGTTCATCCCTTGTTGCCTGTCCAGGATATTTCGCACCGGTTGTCTTTCTCTCTTTTACCAGGACCATAATTATTTAACTGTCTTAACTCTTTGGTGATCAGACTAGCTAGTGGCTGTGACGTTCCATTATGAGGGTACCAGGTGAGCAGTTTGCTGGCAGCTGCTTCCAACTGGTTCTTAGAAGCCCGAACTCTTTGGTAGCGCTTAGAGAGGTGTAGTGCATGGGTAGGTATCCCTGCATGTATTTCCAGTGGGCAAACCTGGGGCCACATTATGCTCTGCTCTCAGCTATGCACTGACTGGTTTGTATTGCCATTGACGACACATGATGACAATCATTGTGGTCTTTTTTCCTCTCCTCGAAACATATCTCATGCAAATCACCACAAAAAGAAATAAAACTAAATCAGCTAACAAAAAAACAAAAAACAAAAAAAAAAACCTACACCTTCAATCTTTCTTTCTCCAATATTCGCAATATCCGTTCCAACTTCAGCGAAGAATTCTTCCTCCTGGAATGGTTGTCAGATATCTTTGCTCTTTGTGAAACCAACTTAGATTCTTCCATTGCGTCCAATTAATTCTTGGTTCCAAGGTATTTTCCTCTTTGCCGAAAAGCTTCCAACATTCATACATAGCCTTGGTGTTTATATCTGGGATAATCTTTCGATGGCCAGGGAATTGACTCGCGAGGCCGCTGACTACACTTTCATGTTCTTCCGTCTTTCGCTACTAAACTCTGTCAGCTATATCTCTTTCCTTTATCGCCCCCGCTCTTCCAAAAATTGCAGCATATTAGACACAATAGCTGACAGTATAGAAAAGGCACTTTTTCTCCATCCATCTGCGAACATCTTTGCCTTCGGTGACTTTAATATTCCCCATGATACGTGGTTGAAATATTGTAAAGGTACTGATGTTGCCGGTATACAGCCATCAAATTTTTCCGTTGCCCTCACTCAAAGTGTGGACTTCCCTACTCATTTCCCTAGCCAAACCAATCAAGATGCATCTCTACTGAATCTATTTCCTACCTCCTCTCCTCGTTCTTGCCGAGCTTCACAATACTGCCCTCTTGTTAACTCGGACCCCTCTGTGGTACTTATTGATATCTTTTTTTAAGTATCCAATAAACACCCTATCCATAAGACCTCTTTCTGTTACCAGCATGCTGATTGGAACTCGTTCCAGGATTTTCTTCCTGACGCCCCTTAGACTGGCAACCTCCCAATTGAAAATTGTGCCACTGAGGTTTCTTTTGGGGTCAAAGCCGGCATGGGTACTTTCATCCCTTCTCGGAAATACCAGATGAAACAGCAATCCTCTCCATGGTTCACACCAGCATGCTTGGCCGTCATACCACACAGAAACAACTATTTCCGGATATACCAGCGTGACAGCTCTCATCGTAACAGGGGTCTATTTGCTACTGCTCGTAAAAAATGTGAGTCCTTGAAGAAACTAAGTCCTTGTTTGCTGAGATAATGGGGCATGTAATATGGTACTAAATAAGTGCAAGGTCTCTATTCACCCCTCTTAAATCGATTTGCAGTGTTATCATCCTCTGATGATAAAGCCGAATGCTTTGCCTGTAAATTCTTCTCAAACTCTACTCTTGACTCATCTGAAGTATACCTGTCTAGCTTCCCACTTAGAACTGATTCTCTGTTGAATGATATGCATTTGACCCCTTCCATGGTTTCTGCTATTATCTCTAACCTTGTTCTCTACAAAGCATGTGGACCTGATGGCATCTCTATAATAGTCATTAAAAATGTGCTCCCAAACTAGCTCCTGTTCTCACTAAACTATATAATAAATGCTGAATTGCCTCCTGCTTTCTGGAAACCATTGTCTGTTGTTCCAGTTTTTAAGAATTCTGGTGAACCATCCGACCCATCCAACTATGAGCCTATTAGCCTTCTGCTTTTTTTTGGGAAACTCCTTGAGGTCCTAATCAATTCTGAATTGGTTCATCCTCTTTCATCACAGGGCCTTATGGCTTTCATTTCTCCAGATAACTGCTATGATAATTGTGGAAAAGAGTATCATGCTCTAGATAAAAACAGTGAAGCTTGGGCTGTAGCACTGGACACATCTCAAAAGCCTTTGACAGGATCTGGCATTCAAGGTCTTCTCCACAAGCTGAAAAGTTACAATATCTCCAGGCACATTTTTGAGCAAATTCAGTCATTCCTATCAAATTGTGAAATGTAAGTTGTCCTGAACAGGCACTCATCTACGTCTTTTCGTACTAACACGAATGTACACCAAGGCTCCATCCTTCATCCCACGCTGTTTTTAATCTTCATTAATGACCTTCCCAATGACATCAGCTTTCAACTTGGCATCTATGCTGATGATACTACCATTTACTTCTGCCTCGATGGGTAAGGTTGATCAGTCAGACAAGCTCAAAATTGCAGCTGATGTACAAAACGACCTCAAGACTGTCATCAACTGGGGCAAAAGAATTTTTGTCAATTTTAATGCCTCCAAAACACCTTGAGGTCCTAATCAATTCTGAATTGGTTCATCATCTCTCATCACGGGGCCTTTTCTCAAACAAGCAATACGGCTTTCGTTTCTTCAGATCAACTGGTGATGTACTAACGGTAATTGTGGAAAGAGTCTATTATGATATAAATAAAAACGGTGACTTTGATAGTGTTTGGTATTCAGGTCTTCTTCAGAAGCTGAAAAGTTACGGTATCTCCGAACACATTTATGAGCCGAACCAGTAGTTCCTATCAAATTGTATAATGAAAGTTGTCCTGAACGGCCACTCATCTACATCCTTTCGTACTAACGCGGGTGCCCCCCAGGGCTCCATCCTTGGCCCTGCGCTGTTTTTAATCTTCGTTAACGACATCAGCTCTCAACTTGGCATCTACGCTGACGACACTACCATTTACTCCTGTCTCGATAGTAAGGCTGATGTACAAAATGACTGCAAGACCGTCGTTAACTGGGACAAAAGACTAAAAAATTAAACTTCTCTCCATTAATCATCTGAGAGGCCCCCTGTGCCTTCAATCAGCATGGCTGATGCTATCCTCCAATAAAGTGACCCTTGCGCTTTCTCGTGCTAACGTTCTCGGCTGACATGAGGTAGAAAGACTACATTGAATCCATTGCTAGATCATCTGCTAAGAAAGTCGGTTCACTGTGTTGGATGAGACAAGTTTTCTCTACGGTATCTATCTTGTATATCTATAAGTCTACCATTCATCCATGCTTAGAATATTGCTGCCATATGTGGTCCAGTGCCCCTGCTATTTACCCGGAGCTCCTTGATAAAATCCAAAGAAGGATCAGCAATATTATTAGTCTTGATCTGGAATCTCGGCTTCAGTCACTTGCCCACCGCTGTAAAGTTGCCTCTCTGTGCCTTTTTTTTTTTTATAAATACTTTCGTGGTAATTGTTTGGATGAGCTTTTCGTTGTGGTACGTAGACTGTATGAATTTAAGCGAAAGTGGTATCTACTGTCCTCCTGATTGCTCTTTTCCCTTTCCCCTCACTACTAATGTTTCTGTTCCTAATTCCTTCACACTCTTTGCGTATTCGTGGCTATAATGCCTTACTTGGGGTGATACTGACTTAAAAAAAAACTACCCAACAGTCTTGTGTAAATGGATGGCATATCAGGAAGAGATGTCGGGAAAAAAAAATTACTAATAGCTACAAAGGATAGGAAGTTGTGGAGAGCCATTCTCACCCACGTCCTGAAGGAATACGAAACATAAAAGGGATTCAGTACTGAAGATGATCATCATTTGTCAAATATTTTGTTGTTAAACATAAACTAGCATAGTATCCGTAAAAAATGATGTAAAAATTATTTACATATGATGTTTACTAAGTGGTGTTAATTTGGTTGCTTTCATGTCTTTAGCCAATGACTTAATAAACTCTGTATTTTTCTCGCTGGTTACATTTGCAACACAAGCACCTTCAAATACTCCCTTTCCTGTTCAATCAAATTTTCTTGCTTATTACTTATTGTAATTTTTGTGATATTTCTTTTTTTGTTCTTATCTTGACAATACGTATAATTCCCCCTTTTTTATCTATGATTTCTGTTAGTTTTTTTATTCATAATTTCAAAACTATCTATCTATCTATCTAAAATATCTATCTATCTATCTATCTTTTTTCATATCTATCTATCTATCTATTGATACCTATCCAGCTTACTAACACGCTAGCTAGCTATCATTCTGTTATATATATATATATATATATATATATATATATATATATATATATATATATATATATATATATATATATCATTTCTTCATTACCTACATATAAATGTTTATCATTTATTTTATATCCATCATTCTATTATTTTTTCTATTTCTCTCTCTCTCTCTCTCTATATATATATATATATATACAGCTAACTAGCTAGCTGATGAGCTATCACTCTTTTTCAGTCTCTCTCTCTCTCTCTCTCTGTATCTCTCTCGATATATATATATATATATATATATATATATATATATCTGTTTATTATATATCTGTCATTCTGGTTTTTATCTATTTATCTATCTACCGTTCTGTTCATTATCTATCTACCTGTTTGTGTATGTTTATCATTTATTTTATAATATATGATAAACATACACATACATATATGTGTGTGTGTGTCTGTGTGTGTGTGTTTATTATATATCTATCCTTCTGATTTTTATATCTATCTATCTATCTATCTATCTATCTATCTATCTATCTATTTATCTATCTCCGCCTATTCATATTTATCTCAAAACATTATTGGATAGGCTGGAATCTGCTCTCATGATCGGTTTCCCTTAAATCATTTCAAATCGTTGTCAATTATGATTAAGAAGAAAACAAAAGAAGAGGAAGACTAAAGAAGAAGAAGAAGAAGAAGACTAAAGAAGAAGAAGAAGAAGAAGACTAAAGAAGAAGAAGAAGAAAAAAGAAGAGTAAGACTAAAGAAGGAGGAGAAGGAGGAGGAAATTGGTTAAATTTTTTCGATTCATTTGTCGAATTTCCGTACACTTGACACCCAGGCTAATTTACCTCTTCTGCCTCTTCCCTCACTCACTTGCGGCTGTGCATCGCTCCTTCGCGCAGAAGACCCACCTCTCTTGGGTGGGGGTGAGCAGGTCCCGCCCACCATTTAACAACGATGGCTTCATTTGCCGATTGACCAATGAAATCAATCACTGTCAAACGGGCACCCACCAGTGGTCAACCCGCCCTACCCACCTCCTTTCTTATCGCGATTTTCGCTTCATCCAGCGTGCGATGGTGTTATGGAGTGGGTCGTAAAGGCGGTGAGGGTGGATCGAATAAAGAAGCCGAAGGCTTATTATTTGTTGCTCGGCCATAGGTGCTGACGTCATAGAAATCCTTAGGCGGTCTGCCACTCACTGCCAAGCACGTGTGCAAACACGCAAACACACATATACACAGATATACTCGCACACACGCCAAGCACCCCGAGAGCTTGGTCGAGGTGCTCGCTACACAGCTGTGAACAGTCGGACTACACAAAGCGCATGGCTTCTGCGTTTCAGTAAGTAGATTTCATTTTTAATTTATTACCTCTTAATTTATATTAAATAATCAATTAGTCGTAATCTACTTCCTCGTTCTTTAGTTCTAAAGGTTGGTCTAAACGTCCGGAGCGTTTTAAATTGTTTTCAAAATAAAATCCGTGTTTTCGTATCTAACAGGTGCCATATAAAATAACCAATAATGAGATGATTCGCAATACGTTTTGTCTGTAAAGATATTATTATTGTTGTTGTATCTGAATGTTTTACGATCTGTCTCCAAGTTCTAACTTGAAATCTCAAGAGACTGCAAAAGATCAGGATTATGGGTAAAGTTGGTAGGATATAGAGCTTGACATTCACAGTGTTACTTTTCCTCATCGCATGATTTCATTGAAATGTTTTTGGTGGTTTCAAGGCTAACTTTGAGGTATTGGCAGCTCGGACAGTCGCCAGGGGCGCCATCCAGACCGAGGTCGCCATCATGTCGTGTTTGGGATCTTCCAAAACTAAAGCATGTAAAAAACATACTTGCGGTCGTTCAAAATTCAAACAAAACATTAATTTCTTTGGTTATTTTGTCAATAGAAAATTATCTTAAAAAAAAAAAAAAAAAAAAAAAATAGGCGTAGTAAAAGATTTGCAATTTACCGAATTATACACCTGGAGAATAATTTTTTTTTTTTTTTTTCAGACATTGCATTTTATTTTAATTAATTTTTTTTTAATAAATGTTCACGCAGTCCATGAAAAGATTTGCCGATCTAAAGGCGAGAAAAAATGTTTTAGGTAGGATAATGAATGTTTTCTTTAACTTGTATCAAGTTCTATATTGTGATAATCTCATTATTCTACAATACATTTTCAATTTTTCTCCTTGTGAATTTAAAAAAAAAAAAATTCTACTTGTAAGGGCGCCGAAGTTCAGCTTGCCCGGGGTGCCGACAAAGTCTTGAGAGGTCATTGGGTAGTTTAAACTTTCATTAAATGCGTATACTTTCATTTTAAAACGCAAGTATAAAAAAAGATGTCCACAGTTAAAATGTGTACCTAGGGTCGACCTTTATATATCCTACATAGCTTCATAATCAGCACTTCTTACCACCATCTTTTACATCTATACAAGCTCTTTCAGTAACCTTCTACCTTGAGTGTCTCTTAAGCCTTGAACTGCGTGAACATTTATTTAAAAAAATTAATTAAAATAAAATGCAATGTCTGAAAAAAAAAATATTCTCCAGGTGTATAATTCGGTAAATTGCAATAGTATTCAGAATACGAAAGAGAAATTATTATTATAATTAAGCAATATTACGACAATATCATGTTGAAAAACCGGTTATTGTACGATCACCGAAGTTAAGCAACGTCGAGCATTGTCAGTACTTAGATGGGTGACCGCTTCGGAATACCAGGTTTTGTAAGCTTTGATGTGCAGATGGTGTCATAGATAATGGCTCGGAATTGTTAATCGGAGTTCCAATTCCAGTTGGGTTCGTTATAATTCACTTACACGCAAATACCCTTGAGAAAGGTAGGAATTCACCTGTTCTTCCCACCCCCACTGGTTAATTAGTAAGACTTTTATCCCTAAATCATTATCTTAAAAAAAAAAAATCGTACAATCTAAAAATATTCTCTGGTTTTAAATAACCTGCAAAAGGTTGATAAGTCGTAAAAAACGAATCAATTATTATACAAAGAAAACAATTTGTCAAACTAAAATAATGTTCTTATTGAAGGAAATGTATATTTCCATGTCGGGGGAAGGGTCGAAAAAATAATTCTAAAAAATACTTATATATATATATATATATTTCATCTATTGAGATGAATACTAAAGATGTATGGACGCTAAACTTTAAATTTTTAAATTTCTGGCGTCCGAAGTGTCTAAACGTACAACATAAACGACTTGTATTTTCTTTCACCTTCCCAATACATACACACACACAAACACACGTGTATGTATATATATATATATATATATATATATATATATATATATATATATATATGTATTTAGGCAGCAATCCTTCTTTTATGCATGTTTCCTTAAAAACGGCAGACAAGTTACTACGGTTAAGATTTTATTTAATTTTTATTGTGTTCGAACAAGTATTTTCTTTTTTGGACACAGTGTATGTAGAAACTGTTCAAATTTTCTACAGTTCTGAACACTTTCGGCTACACTTTTAGTCATTATCAAGGATGATTTTATTTTTTCAATTTAATTGGTGGTGTGCGTTGTGTTATGTTTTTAGTGTTATAGTGATGTTTTATTTTCCCAAGAAATTTTGAACGTTGTGACCATGTTCGTAGTTAATATTATAAGTTTTGGTAGTACCTTGTCAGTTTTTAACGAAATATATATATATATATATATATATATATATATATATATATATTATAAATTAATTGATTTAAAATGTTTTTTTTTTTTTCGCTATACAGTTCTAACCATGTTTCAAAAATGGAAGCTGAAAGCTTCGAATTTAATTCGCTTGAGGATGAAATGGAACTAATGCCTTTAATTTAAATACAAAATTAAATTCGAAGCCTTCCATTTTTGAAACATGGTTAGAACTGTGTAGCGAAAAAACACATTTTAAATCAATTAATTTATAATATTAATGCTCTGTAAATTTACATTGAGCACTTTTTTGTAAAAATAAAAATATCTATAAGAACACCGGATTATATATCTTACTGTTCTTTCTTTTTATATCTATCTATCTATCTATCTATCTATCGCCATCCAATTGCCCACCATTTGTTTAATTAATATATAGAGTTTACGTGTCATATTTTCGTCCACAAAACAATTTCTAGCGTTTTTATCATTCTACACGCCGGGCACATCGATCAGGGTTATTACTACCGTAGAGAGATGGTTTATTTCATATAGAGTTTATAGACGTATTGTCCATGGTGAAGTGAGTTCAAACCTGTCTCACTCCGATGACCTTATGCAAAAAAACCCCAAAAAACCCCTCCTAATTCACTTTAAAAGCGCCATTCATTAAAATTCTAGCCTCACAGACAAATTCGCTCGTGTAGTAGAATATTCGAGTCTTCCTGGATGCCACATTATTGTGGCCTTGTGTCAGACTAACCTTATTGGTGTCCCACACATACAGATTTGTACCAATTTAAGTTAAGCCTACTAGTTGAATCCTGGCCTTGTACCAGGCGACGTTAAGCAAAACAAATGCTTATATGTTCATAGAGAAATAAATATAAAATATCTATACCCGTTAGTCCCAATTATTATATATATATATATATATATATATATATATATATATATGTTTTTTTTTCATTTCCTCCCTTAATAGTGACTGATATTTGTATTTGATTGTATGTAAGGTTAAATATTTAATATTCCAGTATTATGGAATAATACTACGTAAAAAATACTGTTACTCTATCGTATCTGGGTAAACGTTAGCCTACCAGGCACACCTCCACTTTATATTTAAGATTTCCCTTATTTACATTTAATATTCCAGTATTATGAACTTAGGCTGGGTATAAAGAATGTTAATTAAGTAATACTGTACTTTTTAACCCCAGAGATCACTAGCAATTAAACATGTTAATTAAATGGACAAATCTTGCGTAACATGACACTGATCAATTTGCTCCATTTAGCACAATGTACACAAGTAGGTGACCATGATGATTAGAACTTTTTCCCCCTATTTATTTTCTTTGATTTATACAACAATGCTGCTTATGTAGCCCCAGAATTATAGATTTAAGAAAAAAAAGAAGCAATTATCAGTGTTTTGGTACAAGGGTAGGTTCTGGATATGTATTTCTCTCAAAATGATGAAGAGATCCATAGATTTCTTAGATTTTCCAAGAGTCTAATGCAAACAAACATGATCACAAATATAGTGGTTCTATATTAATATCCACAGTTTCATTTTCTTTATCTGGCCATTTGAAAAATGCAAGAAAAATTTGTACATTTTATAAAAATACAAGATATTTTGTAAAAACGCAAACATTTTTTGAATTTTTCACAAAGAAAAATGAATTTTTTGAAATTACTAACTTTTGATTCTGTTAATGTGCAGTAATTGAATCAAACATCTTTCACCACAAGAAACAAATGTTATATTCCTCAACACATTGATTCAGATTTAATGACAAATTGAAAGTCGATAGTTTTTTGTATATCTATCTATCTATCTATAGTCTGTGAAGTAAACTTTAAAAATGTATGTAAATTAAGATTTGTTAAAATGAACAAATTAGACAGATTCAAATTATATCGGACACAATAGTATATATTCTATTAATTAATAAACTTCCGACAAAATAAAACCTTTTTCTATTAAATATTATAGTACTCAGTACTGCGTCAAAACCAACTTAAAAAAATTAACTCATAATTTATAGAAAAAGATAAAAATTACACAGTATTTAAAAGATAAATCATACGAGAAAATTTTCAACTTTTAGGCGTTTATAGTTATTAGAAGTTTTATGCGTCTAATTAACAAAGTTTCAAATGTAACTTAAGATATTTCTATTAAATAATGACACTGAACCATGTGCCGACATCTTGGTCTGTGAGTTTATAAGACATTGTATCAAGTTCTCAGTCTGAGTAAAAGTCTGAGTCAAAATAGTAAAGTTTGAGTCGAGTGATAAAAAAAAAAAAAAACCTCTTGTCTAGTCTATTTCCATCGCATGAAAAACTTTGTTTTCAAAAAGAAGAAAATTGAAGCAACAGTCTTTTGTAAAACACTTCAACAATTCTGGAATACAAATCTTTGTATTTGCACTTTGCTTTTTTTTTTTCTCTGTGGATGTGTTGAATATTTTGAGACTTACTCCTGAACTTCGATGATAGTTGCATGTAGCAATGTTTAGTTTATTCTGCCAAGTTACAGCTAAGTTATTAACTTTTTAAAATATTCTTCAAGTAAGACGCATCCAAATTGAGTCAAAATTAAATATGATGTATTTCTGTACATTTTTCAGACAATCTTTAAAACAAATACTCAAAGATTGGTAAAATCTCATTCTACTTTTTGGTAACAGTACTTGTCTCGCGAAACCCCAGATTTCACACAATGATGATTTTTCTAAAAAGTGAAAAAAAAAAAAAAAAAAAAAAAATGCCTTAATGTATAATTATTAAGTTAAATTTTATAGCTACGAATAACAAACTTGAAAAATGAATTTTTTGAAATTAATAACTTTTGATTCATTATCTCTGTTAATGTGCAGTAATTGAATCAAAGATCTTTCACCACAAGAAACAAATGTTATATTCCTCAACACATTGATATAAGCAATTTAAAAATTAAAATATTTAAATTTAATGGCAAATTGAAATTTGATAGTTGCTTGTACTTTAAGGAAAAAAAAAGCAATTAATTATCAGTGTTTTGGTACATGGATAGGTTCTGGATATGTATTTCTCTCAAAATGAAGAGGAGATCCATAGATTTCTTAGATTTTCTAAGAGTCTAATTCAAACAAACATGATCACAAATATAGTGGTTCTATATTAATATCCACAGTTTCATTTTCTTTATCTGGCCATTTGAAAAATGCAAGAAAAAATTGTACATTTTATAAAAATACAAGTAAAGATATTTTGTAAAAACATACGAACATTTTTTTGAAATTTTCACAAAGAAAAATGAATTTTTTGAAATTACTAACTTTTGATTCTGTTAATGTACAGTCATGTAATCAAACATCTTTCACGACAACAAACTAATTTTATATTCCTCAACACATTGATTCAGATACAAGTAAAGATATTTTGTAAAAACAAAGAAAAATTAATTTTTTGAAATTACTAACTTTTGATTCTGTTAATGTGCAGTAATTGAATCAAAGATCTTTCACCACAAGAAACAAATGTTATATTCCTCAACACATTGATATAAGCAATTTAGAAATTAAAATATTTATTTAAATTTAATGGCAAATTGAAATTTGATAGTTGCTTGTAGTAATGTTTATGAAGAAAATCTTTAAAAATCTATATAAATTGATTTGTTAAAATGAATAAATTAGATTAAAATTATAGCAGACACATTATTAGAACATACGCTATTAATTAATCAATTTCAGACAAAATTAAAAAAACATTTTTTATTGAATAATTATTAAGATATAATACCCAGACTGAGTGAATAGAAATTAAAATTTAATTAACCTATAATTTATGGACAAAAATTACACAGCATTTAAAACTTCAAATGATTACTCTGAAAAGTTTCAGCTTTTAAGTATGTATAGTTATTAAATTATTAGAAAGTTTATACTCACAAATAGCATACTTGAAAATTATTTTTCTTAATTATTAACTTTTGAATCATTGTCTCTGCTAACATATTTCACCGCATAAAACGCATGTTGTATTCATCAACACAGCAATTTAGAAAATTAAT